TAGTTTTGTGATCAGACCAGGCCTCCATAGCAAATTGTTTCATTTGGAAGGAATGTAAGTCCTGGAAGTGGTATACCGTTAATAAGAAAAATAAATTTCCTATAATTTATATTTTTCCCTCAAGAGAAAATCATTTGACCTTTCCTTTTGTCCCCCTTTGTGAATGATGGGATGAGAGCCTAAACCATTCTTGAAACTATAAAACTATATGTGCAAATGTGGTAAAACATTTGGCTTGTTTGGTTGCAGGACATTGGAAATGCTGAACTTGCACCAACACACCCCATCCGCCTTGGGCTTGCTCTCAACTTCTCTGTGTTTTATTATGAGATTTTGAATTCTCCTGACCGTGCATGTAATCTCGCCAAACAGGTGAGAATTTATAGGTTCTTTACACGGTTTTGAACTTTATGGACAGTTTTGATTAAGAATTAGTATTATTACTCCTTGGCAAGAGCAGAAAGGAAGGATAAATGGAGTTCTATAAATTATTGTGTTTCGTTCGATGGAGGGATGATGAAGTAGTATTCTAGAAAAACAATAAAAAATATCTTATTCGGTGCAAAAAGAACTTCCAAAATCCATGCATGCATTTGGGGATGAGGAGTTTGGAGGAGTGCACAAGCCCTTCCACTTTCCTCCCAACTCCCATTAAACACACATCACTCTGCATTCCTTTTCTCCCATCTAAAGCAATCCAGCCATGCAAAGGCTTAGAGTAGGAGGATCAGTTGATTTGAACTTTATCTTGCTTCTCCTTTGCACAAAAAAATGTTAGATTTGAGCTGATAGAGTCGGCTAACATATACTCCGTATTGAACATATTCTTCTTACACTTGAATTCATTTATTTAATGACCAACTGTCTTCCATTTGTTTATTTTGCTTCACTTTGCTAGGCCTTTGATGAAGCAATTGCCGAGTTAGACACATTGGGGGAGGAGTCATACAAGGATAGCACCTTGATCATGCAACTTCTTCGTGATAATCTCACTCTCTGGACATCAGACATGCAGGTAATAGACATGAACCATTGGCTATTCTTATTTAACATAGGGCCGCCTTTGTAGGGTACTTTTATACTTCTGTGAAGTTTTTATGTCTGTTCGAGCCAATAGTTTTTTTGAAAGAATTTAGCTTGGGGTACCCCAATTTGGACACTATTTTTGATACCATTGTCTACGAATGTCTTTAAGGTGATGTCAAAATTGGGGTATCCCGCTATCCCCTAACATTATACTTTTTTTTAAACTCCATCTCCATCTCTTTAGGTAGGGATTTCCCTAGATGTTTTGCGCGTTCTTGTACTTAAATGTTAAAAGATGTGGCATCGACAAGCGTACCATTAAATTTTTTTCTTTTCGTTTTTGTGTGTAGGATGATGGAGCTGATGAAATCAAGGAAGCTCCCAAAAAAGATGATGACCAAAATTGATTGTGTGTGTGGTTTTCATTGTATTGGCATTTTATTATTTGTCTCCATCATTGTCTGGAGAAGCTTACTCTTTATTTCCCAGCATAGGGTTTTCAATATTAGGGGTTATATTCTGTCTCAAACGATCAGATTTCTAATGCTAATGCTTTTTATAATTTAGTATGGCTCTATAAGTTTGTTAATGCGAAGTCTTTTCCAAAAGGAAAAAATCTAAGACTAAGTTTGTATCTCAATTTGTACATTAGGGGTGTTTGTTTTTTGGCCAGAAGAGCTTCTGGCCTCTTTTGTCTGCGCCGCGCAGACGCGCGCAGATGCTGAGCTCTGCAGATTGGTTTTTGGAAGACATTTCACTCAAAAAGGTCTTCCTGGCATCTTCTTGGAGAAGACATTAACCTATGTCTTCTAAAATCTTCTCCATTTTTTTCTTCTACTTCTCTTCACCACTACCACCGTCCACCACCATCACCACCGTCCACCATCACCGCCACCGTCGTCCACCACCACCGCCACCGTCCACCACCGTCCATCACCATCGTCGTCCACCACCACCGCCGTCAACGTCCACCACCACCCTTCACCACCACCCTCCACCACCACCACAATCGTCCATACACCACCACCGTACACTACCACCATTAATTTATATAGCAGTCTACAGACGTTAAAAAATAAACAGTCTTCTTCTTGCAGACCGCAGACCTTCGGTCCACCACTTCTCCTGCAGATGTATACAGTAGTGGTCTGCAGACTGCAGATCTTTTCTTGCAGAAAAAACAAACACCTCCTAAATGTATCATGAGACTGACACTTCGTACATATACTAGTTTGGTTACAAACTTGGGGTACGCCTGTCACACCTCTTCCCAAAATTATTTTCACCCAGCATTTTCTATTGCTCGACATTTGGTAACAAGTAAAAAAAATCCCAAAAAATCATGTTCCATTATTTGTTAAGAAAAATAGTGTTTCTTCCCTTCCAAATTAATCTTTATTATTATCTGGGTCTCTTGATATATACTCCTTGCGTCTCATAATAGACACTTTTTTATCACATTTAATATTACTATAATTACAAAGTGGTATAGAAATGAAAGTATAAATTATAACGTTTAAAAGTACATAAATTTTTTTATAAACATGAGATGACAAGAATATTTTATTTTATTTAATTATCAATGAAAATATACGCACAAGGAAAAAGTATTATGTTTATATGTATGTTACTATGTTTTCATTGATGATTTGATAGATTAAAATATTTGTTATTTTTTGTTTTGTTTAATTCTTTGATATATTATTGCATGATACAAAGTAGTTTTTGATGTAGTATTGAATGATATTGATTTTTGATGTAGAGCATTTTTTTATTCATGGTAAATTGTAAATAAAATTATTTCAAATGAGATGAAATCTTGTTCGTCCTTTCAAATGAGAATATTATTTCAAATGAGTAATAAGTTAGGACCGAGTAGTATTACACCATTCTTTGAGATGATGCCTTGCCGGTTGCGTACTAATCATACCAATTGATTTTTGTCAGACTTTTTCATCTGGAAAAAAAGAAAAAGATGAGCTGATCCTGAGGTTAGTTTCAGACCCGATCGAACGGTCACTGAAAAAAGGTAAATTAAGCTATTGGTGGCAAAAAGTAAAACCTACAATATTTTTCATTTGGTGCATTAAACGGTGTATCATTCTGTCAAACGAGGATAATTACTCCATCCTTTCGTTCCTAAATGTTTATCATATTCCAAAAAACGAAAAAAATTATCATGATTTTTTAATTTATTTTATTTAAATATTAGTATAAATTAAAAAATAAAACTTACAAATAAAAAGTGTTAATAATATTTTATTTTATCAAATAATGAATGAAAAACGTACAAATAAACAAAATTCTCGTGACTATTAGAAAAGTAAATGTGACAATTATTTTGGAAGAGATATTATTTTTGATGTCAAACGTAACATAGTGCAACAAAATGTATATAATGTCACGATTCAGTAATAATGGTGCCACATGAGCAAGTTGTATTCTCCTAATTTTCATAATTATTTTAGACCTAATTATGTGCGTACTTCTCTAGTTCACTCTAAGAGTGCTTATTGGCTTATTATTAATAAATACGGAGAACTTTTTAAATTACAAGTTTTTTATAAGTCAAAAATAGTCTTGTGTAAATTAAAATGACTAAAATAATATAAAAATCATTTGGGATATTCCTAATAGGTGACAATAGTTTTGTAAATAATTTGGTCCAAACAGAGAAACAAAAAAACTACTCCCTCCGTCCCACTGTGTTTGTCTACTTACCTTTTGACACACTATCCAATGCACTTCTTTAATCCATTTTATCTTATAATTTGTGTATTAAAAAATTATACAAATTATATGTTACTACCTCCGTCCCATTTTATAACGCCTGTTTCGGTTTACGATGTTTGACTGAAATTATTTTCAAACCATTTTATATGACAAATGGCATAGAATTAAAAAATAAAAATTATATATTACTACGTAAAAAACTACATCAAAAGATCTACAAAAGTAGTAGTGACAAGAATATTTTATTTTATCAAATTGTTAACGAAAATAGAGAAAGAAAGTGAATGAAGTTTGACCCTGTGAATAGTAAACATGCATTATAATTTGGGACGAAGGGAGTAATAATCTATATGTTAAGACGAATCAAACAAGATCACACATGACTATTTTTAGGTTTACACATTAAGAGAATTTGATGAGTCAAAGTGCTTAGATGAACAGTTTCAAAAGTCAAATGTGGACAAAGACAATGGGACGGAGGTAGTAGTTCAAAAATAAGTAGATAAAGTCTATTTATTTTTTCTAGCTTAAAAATAGTTTATGAATCAGCTTATAAGCACATAAAAAGTTGTCATCACCTGATTTATAAATTAAAACACCTTAGACATAGTTTTGACCAACTTATAAAATGAGAAATACCACTAGTAAGTTGGCCCTGGATGACTCGTTTTTTATTTTTGTCTACGTGCCTTGGGATTTGTGAACTTTTTTGTTGGTTCAGATATGTCCGTTTTATTATTGTATTCTTTACACTTGGATTTCAATAATATTTACATGTCACACAAAAAACCCTAAAAAAATTAATAAACCCACATGTAACATTGGCTTTCTTTGGATGTTGGCTGTCGGTTATTGGTTGTTGGATGTTTGTGTCAAGTGTTCTGAATGGTTATTTAGTTTCGCTAGTCTGACCGACTGGATGTGTTGGATGATTATTAAAAATATTTAGTAAAATTAGTTGTTTGAAAATAGTTATTTTCAAGATTATATATATATATATATATATATATATATATATATATATATATATATATATATATATATATTAAATTTGATACGGTATCAGAATTCTTTTTGGTGTTTGGTGAGGCCAAAAGAAATATCGAATTTGATACCTCCGGATATCACAATTCTTTGAAATGAAAGAATTTGATATCTCATGATTTTGGAAGATATCAATATGAGGGCTTGATATCATCAGCCGTTGACCATTCCCGCCACCGACTTGTATTGTCACCGTCAACCATTCCTGTTTGCCGGCCACCCTCACCTATCACAACGAAATCATGATTTTAAATCTCTTCAAACAATTTCATTTTAGATTTCTAAACTCATATCATATTTCCAAAATACACCACACGGGCCCTAAATGATAAAAAGACAACAAAATAACAAATGAGACCTCCTCCGGGGAATGCAGCCATCCTCAAAGACAAAGCGGAGTAAATTTAGTGTTCTAGTAGTGTGTGACTATCACCACCCTTTCAATAACTTTCGAAATGTCATAAATTTATTGCATTGAAGGGAGTAAGCTAAAAACAACAACAAAAAATTTTGAAAACATAAGTTGAATGCGTTAAAATAAGATCTATCCTAAAACAAAACCAAAGCCAATACCCAGCTAATCCCAACATTAGCAAACTTAGCATACCAATAAAAATGTATGCTCATTCAATAAAAAAACTTAAAAACTATTTTAAATTCACTGCTTAGAGCTAGTGAATGAATAATAAACCATAGATAAAACACAAAAATGTTTTGGCAGAAATGAGATTCAAAGAAGTTAAAAATGTCACATAGAAGTTCCTGCTAAATATATTAATTATATTTAATTATAGTATTACCATACTTGTATAGGTTTCCTAATGTGGCTCTCCTACTATGATTAGGATTGAAGCCTCTAGTATATATTGTTGTATTCTCTACACAATTATTCAACGAAAATATTCTTTCTACATGGTATCGGAGCCACAAAACCCTAAACCCTAATCTCACCATCTCTCTCTCTCTCGATTCGGCCAGCCCCGCCTCCCCCGCGGCGGCCTCTTTCCCGGTGACGACTCCTCTCTCCCGTCGGCTCTCCCTCCTTCTCTCTCACCATGGCTGAAAATAGTGAGGTTATCTCTCAAAATACATCCTCCAAACCCCCACATCTTGCTCTCACAACTATCTCTAATGTGAAGTTGCATGTTCCCGTTCAACTAAGCCTCTCCCAACCGAACTACAAAAAATGGAGTCGTCTATTTCTCCTTCTCGTTCGACGATTTAATCTCCAGGGATACCTCGATGGATCTGTCGTCCCCCTCTCCGAAGACGACGACGAATGGTGCCAACTCGATGCCCTTCTCCAGGGTTGGATTCTCTCCACCATCACCGATGGAGTCTGTGATCTGGTCATCTCTTCTCTCACCACTGCTTCAGCTCTCTGGAAGGTCATCCACGACCTTTTTCATGACAATAAACACGCCCGGGCCATGCAGTTAGAACATGAATTCCGCACCACCGTCAAGGGCTCTACCCCCATGGCGGCCTATTGCCAGCAACTCCAAAACCTTGCAGACTGGTTGGATGACGTCGATGCACCAGTCTCTCAACACCAACTGGTCTTCCAGATGCTCCGAGGGCTTCCCGCAGATCTTCAGGCTCAAACCTCGTTCATGCAGTTTCAGGATCCGATGCCGAATTTTTTTCAAGTTCGATCGGCTCTCATGCTCTTGGATCGCCAGCGGTCAAATCTCGTTGACACCGGCAGCACGACCCTGCTCACTACCCGAGCCGGCGGTCAACCCCACGGCGGGACACACGGCGGCAGCGCCTATGGTGGACAGCACGGCGGCAGCAGCTACGGTGATGGTAACCCGGGACATCGCGGAGGCTTTGGACGAGGGCAAGGACGTGGCGGCGGAAATCGGGGTCGTGGACGTGGATGTCAAAACGGCTCCAGGCAACGACAAACCCATGACGGCAATACCACCTGGAACTCACCTCACCCAAACCCTAACCCCGGCCTCTTAGGCCCTCGCCCTACACCCTACCCGTACCCCCCTCCCCACGC